ATCTTCCGTTTCGGAGATGAATACACTTTGACCAAAATGCCACTGGAATCTCCCTAGACCTTGTGTGTGGATTTCTATTTTCCTCAATAATAAAATTAAGTAATGCTGTTGCTGTCACATTAATCGTTGTTTTATTACAAAATTTCACCAAATCCAAGTAGCATGTTCTATCCTATAAGAATGATGCTGATTTTTCTTTTTTTTTTTTTGGTGATATTATAATTATTGAATAATTCAACTACAACAGTTGCGCAATTTTACTATTATTATTATTATTATTATTATTATTTTAATCTAATTAGTGGATTTGACGAAGTATTTAGTAATCCAGCCATCAACCATGCAATACTAAGCACTAACACAATAGTATACTTATAAAACTGAGTGTAATGGTGTGGGTGGGATAAATTTTAAAAAATAATGAATAATAGCTACCTTTTAACTCAGGTACAAAGTATATTTGATGTTTTTCAATCATATAGTTTGCTATTATATATATATAAAAAATTGTTTTCAAATATTAGTTTATAAATATGGTTATTGAATTGATGGTTTATTTTTTATATACATAAATTAAATTTTATTTATTTTTCATTTAGGATGAGGCTACCATTCTATATTTCAATTATGGTGCGAGCTTATAGGTCAATTATTTACCGGTAAAATAACAATATCTTCATCAAATCTCATATTTATTTTATTTTACCAGAGAAAGAAATCTTGTATTTACTTGGAGTAAGAAATCTCGTATTTACTTGGTCGAAGTTTGAGTAAGAAATTTTATATTTACTTGGTCCAAGTTTGAGTTGTGTGAGTCATGTAAATATGATACCTTGGATATAAAGTAATTAAAAAACCTTAAATTTTTAAATTAAACTACACAACTAGGAAATGAGTTTACTTTTATTTTTTTAACACATGCAAATAAACACAAACAAAACAAAAAAAGGGACTGGTGTAGACTTTCACGTGGCAACCTCGAAGCCAAAAAAATGTAACAAATCTCACAATTGCTCGAGGGGAAGCTATTCCAACCAAGTTTAGTCTTCCACTATTATTTTATTATGAACTACATAGTTGTTTGAACGGTTACACCAATAAAACTATACAGTCGAGTCATCGTGAAATCTCTTGGATCTCCCAAATGATAAGGTCAATTTTTGTGATATTTGTATAATTTAGCATTTTCAGGAAATGTGTTTAATTTCAAAAGCAGCTAGCAACACACAAATGGTAATATTACTTCCTTTAATGAAATATAATAGATTGTTACTAAGATTCAACTACTGAGGCATAATATTATTGATCAAAATATTAGCGGTTGACTAACTAAAAAATGTAGTCGCTAAGATTTGTATTAATTTTGAATGACCACTTAGTATAGTTTGACTAAAAAGAAAATAGGGAAGATTCTAGATTATAGTGGGAAGAGAGTTATGGGTGCAATCTAGGGGTAATTTGGTAAAGTGGAGATACAATGTCTATGTTTGTTGTTTAGCTTTAAAAGGGCTTTATCAAAATCGTGCTTGGAAACGCAACAGAGCGTCAAGGGAAAAATAAGACAGAAGACTCGCTTCGGCTCCGGTCGTCGTTAGAAAAATATAGCCCATTCACAAACCTCCACGTACCCACTTATTAATCAAAAGTCATAATCTGCACACATTTATACTTAGGTCTCAACTTGAATTTGGTTCAATCAATTAAATCTCAATTTATCACAATGTTGTAAATATTATTGTACTAATACGTACATATACTATAGAATTTATGTATAATCTTTTGAATTTCAAAATGGTGTTTTTTTGTTTTCTAGGAATCAAGATGGGGTTGACTATTAATCAAATAAAAACTGCAGAGAAATTAAACAAAAAGTTCTATACATATATGATATAGCGTCCAAATGGGATAATATTTTAAAAGACAATGTTTAAATCAATATATAAAATAGTTTTCCAATGACCTTACCATCTTTTTAGTATTTAAAAAGTTTTTAATCGCCAATATTAGAGTATTTGTTGAGATTAAATGTTCAAAATTCCACCTCATATTTAAAAAAAAGTATGTTAATTGTTTATTGACTATTGATGGGAAGGTTAACAAGATTATTTAACAGTAATATTAATTTCAATATCTATGGTATTATTTATATCCTTCAATGATATGTTTTATTATTTACGTATCATACTTTGAGCACATGTTGATTAAGGTCGAAAAATAGGGATGTGAGATTTATCATTTTGGTTTACAATTAATTTTGATTATATAATAGACTATTCAATCCAATAACTCATAACTAAGTTTACATATTCTTATATTTTAATTTAATATAAGGTTGGGACCTTACATGAAGTTGACTCGCATACTAGCATTATATTAAGATATTTTATTTTCAATGTGTTTGTGCAAAGATTTGCACAACAGTGTGTTCTTGGTTGTAGCTCGAACCCGGCCTCCGGACCGACCTGACCACTTGGGCGGACCTGCACAAAAAGGTGAGCACTCAGACGATCAAGTCAGTATAGGTCGGATTCAAAGTCTAGTTCGAAGCCAGAAATCATCGTACCTGATCGTGGGTTGAGGTCCTCTACTTATGGGTGGTAGTCCCGCTAATCTCGCGACGGTTACACCCGGTAATCTCGGGACCGTCGGTTACACCCGGTGATCTCGGGACCGACGGTTACGCCCGATAATCACGCCGCAGACAGTTGCTCACATC